TTATGTTCCTTTTCCTCTCTCCTTTCCTTCTGAGTCTCCATTAACATGAGCATTGAAACTTTTTGCCATGTTTCGTGTCTCTTATACTCTTCTGCATCGTCCTACCTTTTTACTTGGTATGCTTCCATCTAGATTTGTTTTTCTTCTAGTGATCGATCTTTCATCTCACGCATCCTCTCTTCTGTTTTCTCCAATTGGTTGTTACCCCTTTTAGTGAATTCTTAATCTCACAAATTTTACTTTTAAATCCTAGTATTTCCATTTGATTCTTCTTCTAGATGGACTAAAACTCCTCATCTTGTCACCTCTTGGACATATTCTCTTAAAGTCCGAATTTGACAACCACAGTATCTGAATCACCGATGTTCTGCTACCATTGTTTGTTTGTTTGTTTTTTGTTGTTGTTGTTGTTTTTAATTTATTGTACTTCAGGTGAAGGTTTACAGAACAAATAGTTTCTCATGAAACAGTAGTACATGTATTGTTTTATGACATTGGTTAACAACCCCATGACATGTCAACCCTCTCCCTTCTCAACTTTTTTTTTTTTTTTGGTGAAAATACACATAGCCAAAGATACACCATTTCAAAAATTTCTACATGCACAGTTCAGTGACATCAACTACACTCTTCCAATTGAGCTGCTATTTCTCACTTTAGATGAAGGTTTACAGAACAAAATAGTTTCTCATTAAACAGTTAGTGTCTGGTTTTTTTTTTTTTTTTTTTCCTCTCTCTTGGTTTTTGATCTTTTTTTTCCTACCTCCTGGCATGCCTGGTAAATATATTATTATTATTATTCAATAACAGGCCTTGTGTATGAAAAATTGTAAACATCCAGGATGATGTTTTCTTCCTCCAGAGAAGATTTCATTTTCTTTTGGATGGCAGTTAGAGTAGGGACAGATCACTTCGATCTAATCAGGGAATGAAATATTTGTAAACGTACTTAAGGTTTTATGGGGCCTTGTATATAAGTCAAAATCGACTGGATGGCAACAGGTTTGTTTTTTTTGGTTTTTTGTCTATTTATAGTTATCCCTTACTCCCAGCTTGCAGGTCATCTGGATTTCAACTGAGAATCAAGGGACTTACTAAGGCCTCTCCTCCTTGATAGGCCATGAACTCCAATTTTTGTCTCCCCAGCTATGTGATATTGCTGAGAGCTCTGTTTGACTTTTTTTTTTCTTAGGAACTGTTTTATGTCTGGTTTCTGTGTAGTAACACATTAACCTTACCCAAAGGGAAGTCTGGCCTTTGCCCTCACCTCCTGTTGATCTCTAAGCCCTTGGAATGTCCTGCTTGCCAAGAGTGTCATTTTTTACCTTAGGGCCTTGGGCCACGCTGAACAGTCTAATAATGTTATTCATGATGGGCTATTTGGTATCGGCTCAACCTCCAGAGGGGCTGGAAACTAAAAGTCAACCACACAAGCAGTCACCATGTCTACATAATTAAGCCCCAATAAAAACTCTGGACACCAGACCTCTGGTGAACTTTCCTCATTGGCAATACTCTATACATATTGTCATGCACGGCTTCCAGGAAACTAGCATTGGCCACGACTCCACTCGGAGTGGATAACTGGGAGCTTCCTGTTTTGAACTTTCCTGGACCCTGCACCATGCGTCTTGTCTTAGTCATCTAGTGCTGCTATAACAGAAATACCACAAGTGGATGACTTTAACAAAGAGAAATTTATTTTCTCACAGTCTAGTAGGCTAGAAGTCCAAATTTAGGGTGTCAGTTCCAGGGGAAGGCTTTCTCTGTTGGTTCTGGAGGAAGGGCCTTGTGATCAATCTTCCCCTGGACTAGGAGCTTCTCCATGCAGGGTCCAAAGGACATGCTCTGCTCCGGGCGCTGCTTTCTTGGTGGTACGATGTCGTCGTCCCCCCACCCCCACCCCCCGTCTCTCTACTCGCTTCTCTCTTTTATGTCTCAAAAGAGATTGGCTCAAAACACAATCTAATCTTGTAGATCTCATCAACATAACTGCCACTAATCCATCTCATTAACATCATACTGATAGGATTTACAACACATAGGAAAATCGCATCAGATGACAAAATGGTGGAAATCACACGATACTGGGAATCATGGCCTAGCCAAGTTGATATACGTATTTTTTGGGGGACATAATTCAATTCATGACACATTTCCTCCCTTGGCTGATTTTAATCTGTATCCATTCACTATAATAAACCATCACCATCAGTATAACAGGTTCCAGTGAGTTCTGTGAATCTTTCTAGTGAATTATGAAACCTGAAGGTAGACTTGGGGGACCCCCAAACTTTCACCTGCTGTCAGAAGTGAGGGCCGTCTTGGAAATGCCTGAACTCTGCAGTTAGTGTCAGAAGTAAGGGTGGCCTTTGGACTACTCGCCTGCTTTGCAGGTTGCGTGGCCTCTTGCCTCCATGCAGCTTAGGATTCTGCAAATTTCTTAAGGACAAAAGCTTCACAGAATGTTGGGGTTTAGCTCACTTCTCTGTAGTTCTTTTCTCTGGGGTCTTGACTCCCCAAGTCCTGGCTACTTTTGTTGTCCTAAACTCTAGTTTTTTTCTCCCCACCCCCATGAGACTGCCAAAAACTCTAGACAGTCAGTTTCTGATTGGCCTGTATGTCCTAGGACTAGAATCAGCAAATGCCCCAAGGGGAAAGAACAAACGTGAGAGTCCGGCTCACTTTAATGAGTTTACATGCTTCTCAAGATCTTGGCCCCTCAGGTCCTAGCTGCCTTGATTTCACTCTGAAGCCTTTAGGTGACTGTTTTGTTGTCATTGTTATTGTTGAATCTGGCCTTTATAGTTGTTATCAGTAAGAGAGTTGGCCTGATACAAGATACCCAACTGTAGCAGTGAGAAGATTCATCCAAAGTATTTAAAAGATGATAGGGAATCTGGATTCTCATATGAAATCTCTTGGGTTTTACATGCTGGCCACTGATTCAGATATTCTAAAAACATACTTGGTGGGGGTGGGGGGGCAATCAAAACATATTTTCAGGCTGGATTCAGCCAGTTTGTGACTTCTCACCTAGATAAAATGAAAATTGGAAGTGGGTTTTCTCACAGTCTACCCATAGCCCCTCTTATCTGTCTAGAAAAGATTCCCAGGGTGGGTAAAGAGAGACAGAGACAAAGAAGATGGGAGATGGAGGGAAATCAATAGGGGTATAGATTTTAGTATGTCTTGGATAGAGGGGCTGTGAACAGACAAAAATCCTAGATGGTTTTGTGGATCTGAGAGTAGAAGGGATATGTATCCCCACTCTCCACTCCCTGGATAAGGGCAGCAGTAAGATATCATAGAAGCAACAGTTCTAGATAGAGTCTAAGTTTACAGCTTATGCCAAAGACAGCCTGTAAGAGGTTCTTGGGTCCCCATATGGGGTAGGGACACGACTGAGAGAGAACCGGCCATAAAGAGACAGGTAAAAAGGAAGGCAGAGACCTAGGAGAACCTCTGACTTCATCTCCCACCAAACCCATTGTCGTCAAGTGGATTCTGACTCATAGCGACGCTATAGGACAGAGTAAAACTGCCGCATAGGATTTCCAAGGAGCAGCTGGTGGGTTCAAACTGCAGACCTTTTGGTTAGCAGCTGAGCTCTTAGCCATTGTGCCACGAGGGCTCCATCTCCCACCACGCTCCCCTTTTCCCACCCTTCCTCAGCCACTCTGGTCTCCATGCCCTTTAAATACACTAACCAGGCATCTGTGTTAGGGTTGGCCCTCTCTTGGGAATATTTTTTCCTCCAATGTCCATGTGGCTCATTATCTCACTCCACTCAGGTGTTTATTGAAGCCTTATCTCCTCAAGGAGGCCTGACCAAAACCAAAACACCAAACCCATTGTCACTGAGTTGATTCTGACCCATAGCAACTCTATAGGACAGAGGAGAACTACCCCATAGGGTTTCCAAGGCTGTAAATCTTTACAGAAGCAGATTGCCACATCCTTCTCCCAAGTAGCAGCTGGTAGGTTCAAACCACCCACCTTTCGGTTAGCCGTTGAGTGCTTTAACCACTGCACCACCGGGGCTCCTTGAGGCCTGACCACCCTCCCTCAGGTAGCTCACATCCACATATCACCCTGCCCCTTCCCCCATTTCCTTGCTGTTTTCTCTGTAGCAATCACCATAATCTGACATTAAGTATTATGTATTTGTTTGTCCATCTCTCTCTCTAGAAGACAAGCTCAAGGAGAGTAGGGGTGTTGTCTAGCCTGCTCAGAGCTGTGATTAGAATAATGGCTGGTGCGTGGTAGGCATTCAGCAAAATTTGTGAAACAAATGATGGAAGCTCAAGCCTGCACAATAATTATTTTTAATTTTAGACTGAGAAGGAGTTTAGGGAAGAGATTGGGAAGGGGCCAGCTGAGAAAAAATATTTATTCATTTGTTTTAAATGAATGGAGTCGGCCGATATCTGGAGGAAGAGTCAGGGACTGGCGCTTGCGAAGGTCCTGGGGCAGGAGCCTGCCTGCTTGCCTGACATGTTCAGGAAACAGAGAGGCCAGCATGGCTGGAGAGGAGGGACTGAGGAGGAGAGGGGCAAGAGGTCAGAACGATAACCAGAGAGGCAAGAGTTTGTCCACTGCTGTATCCCCGGCACCACATATGCCCAGAACATGGTAGGTGTTACAGAAAACGTGCTGAATGTTCAATTTGACACCTTAATTCTCTGGGGACATCCCTGAGACTGTGGACTCACCCCTTGAGAATGCAGGGGGATAGTATAACAAAACCTGAATAAATAAATCAAGTTTCCCCCTTTCCCAGAACGGAGAGCTTGGGATAGAAGTTAAATAGGGTTGTCAACTTATCACACACACACACAAAAAAAAACAGGACAGTGACCTCACATACACATGCTGTGGACTGTGATTCATCCTGCTGCCCAGAGCTGATGCCTGAGTTCCAGATGACCTCACAATGGTCAAGGTGGTACCCAGTCCCCCACTGCAGTCCGGTCCACCATGCTGACGTCCGGTCCACCATGCTGACCACCCTGGGGCTGCTGCTTAGCCTTGCTCTCCCCGTGCTGGGGACCTATGTTTCCATCAGCTGCCCCAGCCACAATCAGTGCCAACGGGCCCTACTCTCGGGTAATGATATCCTCCTGCACTGCCCCTCCACTGGGGCACGCTGGTACTACTTGCAGGCAGATGAGACCAGCCGGCCCACCAACGTCCTCCATGTCTTCAACACAGATATACTGTCTGAAGGCAGCCTTCTCATTAGAAGCCCCCAGCCCTCCCAGACGGGCTATTACAGGTGCCAGGATCCGAACGGCACTCAAGTGGTGCAGTACGAGATCGACTTCCAGGACGTCACCACCCTACATATTACGCATAAAGGCCTGGGTCAAAAGCCCCTGCAGAACGAGACCCTGAGCCCAAATGAGGCGACACTCATGTTCACCCGCTGGGAGCCCTGGCAGGACTGTAACCGCTGCGGGGAGCCAGGCGAGCGCAAACGCCTGGGGTACTGCTACATCCAGGAGCCACTGCTGGAGCCCATGCCCTGTTGGCTCTATCAGGACGAGGCGAAGACGTGGTCCAGCCGCATGCAGCCTGAGCTACAAATAGAAGCCTGCCTTGAAGAGTGCAAACCTTCTGAAGGTTTCACCTGGGAGTATGTCACCTTTGACAGCTTCAATTTCAACAAAGAGTCAGAATCTGTGTGGCTCAGCTGCCCCTTAGGATCTATCTACAGGTGATGGAAGCCAGGCATCAGCCCAGCCCCTGGCACCTGCACAGGCTCTGTATCCCAGCCTGTGGGGCTTCGTGGTCAATCTTTGCAGAGAAGAAGGGGTTTGTCAGTAGGTTGGCCCCGCTGGGTTTCTCCACTGGCTTGTTCAGATATTGGTTTAGGAAGAATCCCTGGTGCTCATGCACTGCCAAATAATACACATAGAATAACAATCAATGAGAGCTTAGCTGACTGTGCATGGCCTTGTGCTGGGCAATGCTGAATGCCCAGCGGTCATCCAGACAGCTCCAGGCCTTTCTCTCAGGAAGCCCACAGTCCAGTGGGGAGGCAACCTAGCACAGAGCTGTGATGGGAGAACACGGGCAGAGTGATGGGGCCGTGATGCGGGAACCTGGGTAGAGTGATGGGGCCGTGGTGGGGGACACGGGCAGAGTTATTGGGCCATGGTAGGGGGAGCTGGGCAGAGTGATGGGGCTGTGATAGGGAAACCTGGGCAGAATGATGGGGCCATGATGGGAACCTAGGCAGAGTGATGGGGCCGTGATGGGGGAACCTGGGCAGAGTGATGGGGCCGTGATGGGGGAACCTGGGCAGAATGATGGAGCTGTGATGGGAACCTAGGCAGAGTGATGGGGCTGTGATGAGGGCACCTGGGCAGAGTGACGGGGCCGTGATGGGGAACCTGGGCAGAGTGATAGGGCTGCGATGGTGGAGACCTGGGCAGAGTAATGG